TAGCATCAGGCTGTTTGATAAAGTCGGCGTGGTGTTGCAAGACGGGGGCGCTCATAAAGCTGTTTGGCAAGCCAGGGGCGACGGCGCGTCCAAGTTTTGTCTGCTTTGTAAGAATATGATCACAGCCGATTCAAGGGTTGTTGATGAGGATGGTTCAGCCATGTTGCGTTGCAACGAAATACATCTCGATGAGCTCGCGGCGTCCACTGACCATGAGCTTCGCACCAATGCCAGGTATATGGAGCGCATGTCGCGGACTCTGTCTAATGAAGAGTTCGTTATGTTGCAGCAGGCGCTGGGCTTGACGTTTGCTAAGCGAGGCTTACTGCTCGATAGAGCCTTAGACAGGCTGCTCAACCCAACAGATGTGTTTATGCATGACTACATGCACGCGCTGTTCGTCGACGGTGTTGTGAATCTCGTGACCTACCTAACTTTCGAAGAGTTCATATCTGCTGGGCTTAATGGCGTGTGGGAGTCATTCTCTGACGCATTGGCAACTTGGGTGTTCCCTGGAAGGTTTCACGCTACGCATTTAGACAGCATTTTCAATACTGATCGGAAGGACAAGCTCAGAAAGGCCCAACACGTGAAGTGCCAGGCGTCTGATGTATTGTCTATTCTTGGCGTGCTGATGCTATTCACGCAGACGGTCCTGCGACCTATGGGGGCAGCCAATGCGGCTTGCGACGCTATGATAGCTTGCGTTCAGCTGTCGCAGCTGGTAGTTGCAACCGGTCGGATCGACGTGAGCCCAGCGATGTTTCTAGGTTGTGTTCATAAGTTTTTGGAATATTTCACTGCTGCTTTTGGATATGAGTCTTTGACACCAAAATGCCACTGGCTTTTCCACCTCCCTGAGCTACCCGAAAGAAACGGGAGGCTCTTGAACTGCTCCGTCCTTGAGAGGAAGCATAGAATGCCAAAGAGATGCGCCACCGAGCTGGCGAACATCTCTGGGTCAGCCAGCAAGTCGTTGTTGAGCGAATGCGTTGCCCATCACCTGTCAGCAATAAAGATCCACAGTTTCAATTATGACGTCGGCTTGTTGCAGGGCCGCAAGGCGCCCAAGAAGAACAGGCAGCTGATGTTGGACGCATTGGGTTTGGAAGGTGATGATATCCCAGTGAATGTAGGTAAGGATTCTCGCTTCAGCCAGCTCGGCTTATGCGCGCAAGGGGACGTTGTGCTTTTGAACGGCTCCGATGGCATACTTGCCGCCCGCGTGAAGTTGCATTTCGAGGTCAGTGGAGAAGCTGTTTCTATGATGGAGGCAGTGTGGAAACTTTCTGAGACTCCAGTGGAGTGCTGGGGGACCAAAGCTATTTTGGCTGCAGTAGAACACTGCGTGTACGCAGACGGCACCGTCGGCGCTATCCTGCCATTGGGGTTTTCATGATGGGCTTTGCTGGCGCTTTGCGCTCAGGAAAAAAGAATTCGCATACGCTTCGCGTAGCCCCGCCGCACAGACCATCCAGAAACGATGTCTGCGCATTTAAGCCATTGCGGCTGAAGGCAACGAACAGTTCTCCTTCTCCTCCTCATCCTTCTTGCTCCTGCTGCCTCCTCCTCCTCCTGCAGGCACCTGCTGCTGCTGCTGCTCCCCCCCCCCCCCCCAAAGCGGCATGCTGAGACCGCGGGGCCCCGACGACGACCACGGCGACAGATGCAGAGACGACATTCGGCGGCGGACCTGGTGCTACGCGCCCGCCCCTACATATGCGGTGCAACCTATGTGGTGCAACCTATGTGGCGCATTATGTGCTGTGGTACAACCTATGTGGTGCATGCTAAGCGGTGCAACCTGTAGTGGCGCAACCTATGTAGTGCGGTGCAACCTATGCGGTGCATCCTACGTGGTACAACCTACGCAGCGCAAACAGATGTGAGAAGTAACAAAGGAACTTATGACAACGTTGTATTTTTATGGTTTGTTAAAGCGAACGGTAAAGTTTATAAAGTTTATAACTCTGTTTTGGATAAGTGCTGATAAACTTTATAAGCTCGCTAAACGTTAGCTAAACACCCTAAACCTGAACAAACCAAGGATGCATCTCAGTAGGCCTACCCCCTAGGCCTACCCTAGGCCTGCCCCTGAGCCTTTCCCCTAGGCCTGCACCTAGGCCTTGGGCCTACCCTGCCTGCCCGACCCGACCGCTGGTCAGGGCCCGCCCGACCGACCCGAACCGACCCGCCCGATAGGGCCCGCCCGACCGACCCGACCCGACCCGCCCGTTAGGGCGCTCGACCGCCGGACCCGCCCACTTCAATGTCCCGCCCGCCCGACCCGACCCACCCGCCAGGGCTCGCCCGCCCGACCCGACCCGACCCGCCCGTTGGAATCCCCCCGCCCGACCGGGCCCGCCCGTTAGGGCATGCGCGTTAATGCCCCGCCCGCCCGGCCTGGCCCGCCCGTTATGTTTCGCCCGCCCGACCCGACCCGACCTGCCCGTCAGGGCCCGCCCGACCCGACCCGACCCGACCCGCCCGCTAGGGTTCTCGCGCGTCAATTCGATCATGCACCACCACACTTTAATGTCTCGCCCAACCGACTCGACCCGCCCGCCAGGGCCCGCCCGCCCGGCCCGACCCGACCCCCCGCCCGCTGAGGTCCGCCCGCCCGACCCGACCCGACCGGGCCCGCCTGCGAGGGTTCTCGCGTGACAACTCGACCACGCACCGCATTGCAACGCCCCGCCCGCCCGACCCGACCCGCGCGTTGGGGCCCGACCGACCCGACCCGCCCGTTAGGGCCCGCCCGCCCGGCGCGACCCGACCCGCCCGTTAGGGCACCCGCGCTTGAATTCGACCGTGCGCCACCTTGCAACGTTCCGCCCGCCCGACCCGACCCGCCCGTCAGGGCCCGGCCTGCCGACCCGACCCGACCCGCCCGATAAGGCCCGCCCGGCCCGACCCGACCCGACCCGACCTGCCCGTTAGGGCTTTCGCGTGCGAGTTCGACCGCGCACCGCACGTCAATGCCCCGCCCGCCCGACCCGACACGCCTGTTAGATCGCCCACCCCGCCCGACCCGACCGCCTGTCAGGGCCCGAACCGACCCGACCCGACCCGCCCGCTAGGGCTCTCGCGTGTCAACCCGCCCGCCCGACCCGACCCGCCCGTTAGGGCCCGCCCGACCCGGCCCGACCCGCCCGCCAGGGGGCGCCCGCCCGACCCGACCCGATCCGCCCGGTTCAGTTCTCACGCGAACTTGACCATGCACCGCTTTTCAATGTCCCGCACGCCCGACCCAACCCGCCCGCCAGGGCTTGCCCGACCCAGCCCGCCCGTTGAGGTCCGCCTGCCCGACCCGATTCGACCCGCCCGTTAGGGCAGTCGCGCGCGAGTTCGATCATGCGCCACACTTTAATGCCCCGCTTGCCCGACCCGACCCGCTCGTTAGGGCCGACCCGCCCGACCCGACCCGACCCGGCCCGCCCGATAGGGCCCGCCCTTCCGACCATACCCGACCAGTTTGTTAAGGTTCTCGCGCCTGCACTCGATGGCGCCCCACCCGCCCGACCCGACCCGCCTGTTAGGGCCCGCCCGCCCGACCCGACCCGACCCGCCCGATCGGGCCCGACCGACCCGACCGACCCGGCCCGCCCGCCCGACCCGACCCGACCCGACCCGCCCGCTAGGGCCCGCCCGCCTGACCCGACCCGACCCGCCCGTTAGGGCACTCGCGCGTGAATTCGATCATGCACCGTACTTCAACGCTCCGCCCGCCCGACCCGACCCGCCCGCGAGCGACCGCCCGCCCGACCCGACCCGACGCGACCCGTCCGTTAGGTCATTCGCGCGTCAATTCGGTCACGCACCGCGCTTAATGTCCCGCCCGCCCGACCCGATCCGCCTCGCTCAGGCCCGCCCGCCCGCCCCAACCGGACCCGCCTGTTAAGGGCCCCCCCGCCCGACCCGACCCGACCCGCGCGCTAGGGTTCTCGCGAGCGAACTCGACCAGGCGCCACGCTGTAATACCCCGCCCACCCGACCCGACCCGCCCGTTAGGGTCCGCCCGCCCGACCCGACCCGCCCGTTAGGGCATTCGCGCGTTGAACTCGATCGCGCACCGCATTTGAATGCCGCGCCCGACCCGACCCGCCCGGCCCGCCCGCCCGTTAGGGCCCGCCCGCCCGACCCGACCCGACCCGCCGTTGGGCCCGCCCGACCGACTCGACCCGACCCGCCCGTTAGGGCATTCCCGACGACCGACCCGACCCGATCCGCCCGACCCGACCCGACCGCCCGACTAGGGTGCTCGCGCGCGAGTTCGATCATGCACCACATTTTCACGCCCCGCTCGCCCGACCCGACCCGCCCGCCAGGGTCCGCCCGCCCGACCCGACCCGCTTCTTCGGGACCCCCCCCGCCCGACCCGACCCGACCCCGCCCGCCTGTCAGGGCACTCGCGCGTCAATTCGATCATGCACCACCTTGCAACGCCCCGCCCGCCCGGCTCGACCCGCCCGCCCGCGCCCGCCCGACCCGACTCGACCCGACCCGCCCGTTAGAGCCGTCGCGCGTGAATTCGATCGCGCACCGCACTTTAAAGCCCCGTCTAGAGCCCGCCCGCCCGACCCGACCCGACCTGCCCGTCGCCGGCGACGTCGTCTTCTTCTTCGTCCTGTTGTGTCCGCTCTCGTTCCTGGCGCCTCTGTCTCCGCTCTCGTGCTCGCATTCGTTCTCGCGTTCGTTTCGCCTCCATTTCCACCTCGCTGTCGCATGTGGTCTCTTCTTCGTTTCGCTCTCGTTCGCGTCCCCTTTTTTCCCCCACTTCCGAATTGGGGTTCTTGTTTTCTCCGGACACCCCGCGCAGACCTCAACCGCGCCCCCTCTCCTCCTCCGCATCGCTCACCCCCACTCACTCCTTCATTCATCATCATTGCCATCTTCATCAACCACGCACTCACAAACTTTCATGATCACCATCATCATCACACTCACACGCTGAATCCCTATCCATTATCACCACTCATCCACTCATGACCATCATCATCAGCATAGCCATTTTGTCAGGCTTGCCAACGTGCGTGGCTTTTGGCAGGCGGCGCCCTGCTTTCTCTCTCTTCTCCTCCTGCGGCCCCCCCATGGTCGTCGCCGAGCGGCTCGGCACTGTCGCAGGACACGTTCGCGCTGGGCGGGCGGTTGCGTTGTCGGTCGAGGCGCAGCCTGGCGATGGTTTTAAGTTCAAGATTGTGGTCCAGGCTGCCCCTGGTATCATTGGCCCCTCGGCCCATGGCCACATCTTGCAACGGCTGCGCGCCGTCCAGGAGCTTGCCAATAACGTGATCACGGTCGACCGCGGGCACGTGTTCAGCAATGGCATCTGTGAGGTCTTGCGATGGCTTCGCCCCCGGCCTGGTGGCGTTGGTGACGCCGCTCCTCGGCCTGATGACGTTGGCGACGGCGAAGATGATGACCGCGGCGGCAGCCCTAGACGGCGACGGCACCGACATGGCGAGCCTGATGATCGCGACCCATGGCGGGAGGATGGCTCTGACCCGTGGAGCGTCGGCGGCCTTCCTCGCGGCGGTGGCGGGAGTCTTTTCCGCAAGTTTCCTCGACGCCATGCTGATCAATCTGGTGGCCCTGCTCCTGCCGACCTTCCAGTGGCGCCGCCTTTCCCATTCAACTCTGAGGCTCCCGCTTTTTATCCTGCTCAGGCTGGTGGCGCGGTTCCTCTTGCTGGAGCTTGCTCTGCTGGCCTTCCTGATGCCCACGTTCGTTTTGATAGCGCTACGATCCTCCTCTGCGAGCGGGCCGGCGAAGAAGCTGTGCATGCAGAAGCTGCTCATGCAGAAGCTGTTCACGCAGAAGCTGTTCGCGCCGAAGCAGAAAGCTGTTCATGCAGAGGCTGCTCATGCAGAAGCCGTTCATGCAGAAGCTGTTCAGGATGCAGGCGTACCTCCTGTGTCTCTTCTTGTGCTCCTCCAAATCATGCTCGACAGGCGCCTGGAGGAGTTTGTGGAGTCTATTGGCGTGTACCGTGGTGACCCGCGAGTGCCGCGCCCTCCTGGTGGCGGTGCTGCCCCTGCGCGTTCTTCGGATGACGTTCCGCCTCGCGGGCCTGCCCGCGACGGTCCTGATGGCCCTGCAGGTGCGGCTGCTTCCATTCCGACAAATGCCGTGGCTCTCCCAGGTGGTGGCCCGGATATTCCAGCCTCTTCGCTCACGCCGCGTGGGCATAGACGAGCTTCGGCCTCTGAACTGGCTCGGCTTCAACACTTTCGGAGGGAAGTAATTGGTATTTGTCATGAGGAGGCAGCATTTTATCGTACTCTTCCCCGCTCTGAGAACGGCTCTGGGCCTCCGTCGCGTGCTCGTCCTTTACCAAGAGATATGCTCTATTGGGATCTACGGCTTCATGTCGGGGGAGTGGCTTCGGTGGTCTGGCCCTGATTAGGGTCGGCACGGCCAGGTGGGTGCCTTGCGCGGGCGCCCCTGGTGATGCTACATACCCCATAGTGCGGGACACAGGGGAGGGTGACTTGGTGGTTTGGCCCTTTTTTGGGTCGGCGCGGCCAGGTGGGCGCCCCGTGCGGGCGCCTCTGGTGACGCCCCAAAACCTGGCGGCTCAAGAGGACGAAGCTCGCTGCAAGCCCTGGGGGTGACAAGGCAAAATCATCATCATCATTTACTCATCACTTCGTTATCACTCACTTCCCATCTTGACGATGGAAGATGTCTCAAGCGGGGGCCTCGTCTGTGAGTGAATAGTGAGGACGTCTCAGGCGGCGGCCCCCTCCCTATGGGCCCCGCAGATCATGTGGGCCCCACAGATCATGTGACTAATCCGAGGCGGGTCATGCAGAACTTGTAGCTGTCGTCACTTTTGACTTCCTCTGGCTCGAGTATAGGGGAAGTCTCAGGCGGGAGCCTGGTCTGTGAGTGAATTGCGAGGAAGTCTCAGGCGGGAGCCCCCTCTCTATGGGGCCTGCATTTCAAGTTGGCAATCCGAGCGGGCCATCAGAAACTTGTAACTGTCGTCACGTTTGACCTCCTCTGGCTCGAGTGTGGAGGAAGTCTCGGGCGGGGGCCTCGTCTGTGAGTGAATTGCGAGGAAGTCTCAGGCGGGGGCCCTCTCCGTATGTGGCCAGCATTTCACGTTGGTTACCCGAGCGAGTCATCGGAAACATGTAACGGTCGTCACTTTTGGGCTCCTCAGGCCTGAGCATGGAGGAAGTTTCAGGCGGGGGCCACGTCTGTGAGTGAATTGCAAGGAAGTTTCAGGCGGGAGCCCCGTCCCGATGGGGCCCGCACTTCACGTTGGTAGCCCGAGGGGGTCATCGGAAACTTTTAACTGTCGTCACTTTGGGGCTCCTCAGGCTTGATCATGGAGGAAGTCTCAGGAGGGGGCCTCGTCTGTGAGTGAATTGCAAGGAAATCCTCGGCGGCGGCCCTTTCCTTATGGGGCTCGCATTTCGTGTTGGTAATCCGCGCGGGTCATCGGGCACCTGCAACTGTCGTCACTTTCGGGCTCCTCAGGCTTGATTATGGAGGATGTCTCAGGCGGGAGCTTGGTCTGTGCGCGAAGCGCGAGGAAGTCTCAGGCGAGGGCCCCCTCCCTATGAGGCCCGCGCTTCATTTTGGCAATCCGGACGGGTCATCAAGAACTTGTAATTGTCGTCTTTTTGGGGCTCCTCAGGCTCGAGTGCAGAGGAAGTCTCAGGCGGGGGCCTCGTCTGTGAGTGAATTGCGGGGAAGTCTCAGGCGGGACCTCCTCCCTATAGGGCCCGCGTTTCATGTTGGTAATCCGAGCGGGTCATCGGATAGCTGTAATTTTCATTATTTTTTGGTATTCAGTATTGAATTTGGAGGAACTATCAAGCGGGGGCGTCGATGTGAGTGACTGGCGAGGAAATCTCAGTCGGGGGCTTCTCCCTATGGGCCCCGCACCTCATGTTCGAATCCGAGACGGGTCATCGGCATTCTGTAACTATAGTCGCTTTGGGGCTTTTCAGGCTAAAATCCGGAAGACGTCTGAATCGGGAGCCTCGTCTGTGAGTGAATCGCGAGGAAGTCTCAGGCGGGGGGCCCCTCCCCATGGGGCCCGCACTTTACGTTCGAATCCGAGGCGGGTCATCCGAGCGAGCCTTTTGGGCTCCTCAGCTCCTGCGGCTTGAATACGGGGGAAGTGTTAGGCGGGAGTGTTGTCTGTGAGCGAACTGCGGGTAGCCTCGTCTGAGCTGGTCGTCAGCAAATTTGCCGTTGTCATGGGCCTGCGTGCCCGAAAGGGTGATTGAGGAGCTGACGACGACGACGACGACGACGACGACGACGACGACGACGACGACGACGAGGCAGCGGCCGGGCGCAGGGGTAGCCCCTTGTGTCCGTGCGGGGGGTGGTAGCCCATCCTCGGCCGAATCGGGGGCAGGGGTGGCCCCTTTGTCTCCGGGCCGCCGGCCCCCTGCGTCTTCGAGCTGAAGGGCGCGAAGCGCTTCGAGCCCTGGGACCCTCTAGTCGCGCTCTTGGGCTGCATGCGCGAGGGCATGCGCTTCCCGCCAGAGGTCCGGTTTGCTTGGGAGAAGACGTTGGCCTCGGACAACCGCGGCGCCCTGGGCCCTCGGCACCGGCACGAGAAATTTCGGCTCGGCTTCGGTATGGGCATCTACTGGGAGACTCTCGCGAGGTGGATCAACGCGCGTGCTCGTCGTGACGCGCGGCGCCTGGGCGTGCCCCTTGTTGTCCAGCAGGCCGTAGACGAGCGCGGCGCGATTCAAGGCGACCCAGACGCAGGCCGCCGCCTCCTGAACGTCCCGAACACGCGCAAGACGGGGGGCGTCCACGGCGTCTTGCCGGCACACGTCGGCATGGAGGTTTTGTTCACGGCCGCGCAGGAGGAGTTGAAGAGGAACCTGGGGCTCGTGCAGGAGCAGCGGGCCACCGTCGCGTCCTTCGAGTTTCACGCAGACGACGAGCGAGATTACGAGGAGCGCGCGCCGGGCCAGCTTTTTCGCCCCCGCCACCTACCGCAGGGAATCTGGATGCAGGTCCACGGCTTCAAGGAGTCCCCGATCTACAAGGAGGTCGCCGAGGTTCCGCTGCAGAGCGCCGAGGGCGCCGACGACGACGGCGCGGCCGAGGCGCGGGCGAGGGGCGCGCTCACGTCCAGGCCCAGCGAGCAGGAGCTCACGTGGCAGAGCTCGGGGCCGCACGTTGTGCGGCGCTCGGGGTTCACCCTGGCGCGCGTCCTACCTGACCTCCACGCTGTCGCAGGGTCAGACGATGCGCAAGGGCGTCACCGCCGACTGCCCCAGGGATGAGGACGCTGGTCGCACGGCCACGTCGGACGGGCAGTGGCGTCTGCACCTTTACGTCATGTTCCTCCGCGCCACGCGCGCGCGGAACATGCTGATCCGCGGCCGCCCGCGCGAGACTTCCTGGAGCGCGGGCCACCGGCGCCCCTGCGGAAGGCGCTCGAGGAATTCGACAAGAGAGCAGTGGACCCGAGGGCTGAGGCGGAGCAGCTCGCGGCAGGGCTGGGCTTCGTGCTGCCTCCCGCCTGAGCGCGGCCGCGATTAGCTCGGTGCCTGCGGGGTTGCCCCAACGGCTTGCTCTCGCGCCCCAGCAGCTCGCGGGGTTGTCCCGACGTCCTGGCCCGATGGGTTGCCCCGACGGCTTCGCGATTTAGCCGTCGGCAAACGCGCGCGCGATTGCCCGGGCGGCGAGGGCTCCGAGGGACATCGATTTGATTGCGCCGACCGGGGGGGGGGGGGGGAGGCCGCACGGTGAGGAAAGATGCGAGCGGGGGGTGAGAGGGGGGGGGGGGGCAGGGGGGTGGGGGCATGGGGGAGGCGATGATGAGGAGATGGGGAGGTGGAGGAGGAGGAAGAGTAGGGGGGGATATTGAGGGATGAGGAGAGGGCAGAGCAGAGGCTTGAGGAGAGTGTCCGCCAGGGAGAGAAGGACAGGGCCAAGGGGAAGCTAAACAGATTCTCGGCGGGGTCCTACCGGCGGAGTAAATAGTTAGGTGTTCAGTGGCGAGCTTCGTTCCCTCTGCCCTGGCCGTACAGCATCGCGATTTCGTTTCCCTTTTGTTACCGGGTCGCGCGGAACGTGGCAGATTACGCAGGAGCACGGCTGAGCACGCAGGCGCACGGCAGACCAAACAGATTCGCGGCCGACCAAGCAGAAGCACGGCTGACGATGCAGGGGCACGGCGGAGCAGACAGGAACACGGCTGATCACGACGGAACAGGGCAGAACACAAAGCAGCACGGCAGAGCACAGAGGACCACCGCAGACCACGCAGCAGCACGGCAGAGCATGCGGGAGCCCCCCCTGTTTGTTGTGAGCCTGGCAGACTGCCGGGAGCATGGCTGACCAAATTAACCGGGCCTTCCCAAACCAAACGGGCCTTCCCGAACCACCCGGGTCTTCCCAAACCACAACGGCTGGGTCTTCCCAAACCTACCGGGTCTTCCCAAGCTTAATGGACCCTCCCAAACCACCCGGGTCTTCCCAAACCACAGCGGCCGGGTGTTCCGCAGGCCTTCCCAAAACCACCCGGGTCTTCCCAAACCGCAACGGCCGTGTCTTCCCAAACCAACCGGGTCTTCCCAAACCACAACGGCCGGGTCTTCCCAAACACCATGTTTTCCCAAACCAACCTGGTCTTCCCAAACCTAAGCCCGGGTCTTCCCAAACCGAAGCTTTGGGTCTTCCCATACCAACCAGGTGTCTTCCCAAACCACGAGAGCACGCCGGGCTTTCCCAAACCACCACGGGTCTTCCCAAATCAAAGGTTTTTCCCAAACCACACCGGCCGGGTCTTCCCAAACCAACCAGGTCTTCCCAAACCACACCGACCGGGTCTTCCCAAACCAACCGGGCCTTCCCAGACCAACCAGATCATCCCAAACCAACCGCGTCTTCCCAAACCAACCGCGTCTTCCCGAACCACGAGGCCCAGCTCTTCCCAAACCAACCGGGTCTTCCCGAACCAACCGGGCCTTCCCAAACCAAACCGGGTCTTCCCAAACCAAGACCCGTTCGGTTTGGGAAAGACGTTCCTCCGCCTCTGGGCGTCATCCATGGGTAACGTCAGGTGGGCGTATAAGTAGGCTCGGGGGGATGCTTTTGTGGGTCCTCGGCGCTTTCCAGCCTCGGGATGCGTACCAGCAGCTGCGCCTAGCCGAGAGGCGTCCGAGGGTGCCCGGATGGTACCCGACGGCCGCCGGAGACCCGCGAGCCAGGCGACGAAGACACGCTTGGGGGGATAGGCTCAGGGGGGGGGATGCATCGACCTTCAGTCGCCCATTCCACGCCGACGGGATCCTGGGGTTTCGCTATCGGGGCCTAGGGCGGATCTCTCCGCGATGTGTCGCCGAGTCCAGGTCGATGTTATCCCCCTAACTAAGGTGAGCCAGGCCCCCACCCTCGTTGCCCCTCAGCCCAGGAACGCGGAGCCTCGCTGTCGGGGCCTACAGTGCGGATCTCTCCACGATGCGTCGCCGAGTCCAGGTCGATGTCATCGCCCAGAGCCCCCACTCTCGCTGCCCTTCAGCCCAGGGCTTTTTCCACGGGACCAAGCGTTCCATCCCGAGTCGTCTCTACGGCGGCCCCAGGGGGCCCGCTGTCGGGCCCTGCAGGGGGCCCCGAGAGCAGCGGGGGA